CTTACGACACCTTACCTACTTGTCCATGGTGATGGAGATCAATTAGTGAAAATTGACGGTTCACGATACTGACATGAGAATTCTCCCAGTAACGACAAGACATTTAAGGTACACGAATAAGCTGCTTTACTGACAGCACTGAGCGAACTAATAAACTCTACATGGTTATTTTCGACGAATAGTTAGGGGGCTTGACGGTATATCATGATGGCAGGAAGAGGCGGTCTTAAATCGGCGTTTGTTCCTGCCCGGGGTAGGAGTTTCGGCTGCTTTGTTCCAAGCGTAATTATCGTGAACTTATCCCAACAAAAGTCGTGATTTGTCTAAACCCTTTTAACCCCAAGAGTGACCAATATCAATTTTCTCCTAACAATGTCACCACATTTTCAAGGGAAAAGGTTATGAGAATTTATAAAATAATCACCAAAGAGGAAATTCTCGTCTTCAAACAGATGTCTAAAGAATAATATAGAGTTTTCCCACTTTGGCCAATTTTCCTTCGCGTTATCATTTCAGAAATCTATCTATTATTATTTCATTATTAACACAACTGCTTGTAAAAATTGTTTTGCGGATATACAAGAATGGGTGCCATTCTGAATGAGGTGGAAGAAACTGCGAGAGTGGTTTACAAGGACATTCTAGACTGGATCCAGCAAAAGCTACCTTGAATTATTTTAGGCCGCGTTTACACCGAATCCAGACTAATTTTTGAAAATGCATATCCTTTTACCTGGATTCGTGCAGACGAGGCCTTAAACCATTCCGGAGAGCGGTTTCAAAAAGATAGTAGGTTGATTTAGCGCGCAATAAAACGGGAACGTCAGTTGACGACGACGCGTGCAAATCAAACTGGCTTGACCAATGGCAGAGCTGCAAATTGAGCACCGGAAGTCGTGTTTAGTCCTTTCCGCGCCCTTTCCCGTCGTCAACTGACGCTCCCGTTCTGTTGCAAAATCATCTTAATGTTTCGGTGAGAGGATTCACTGGTTTCGTGTGTGGACGGAAGTCCAGACGAGAGGGTGATTCGTGTGAAAACTCTATATAAATGCTGTTTCAACAATATCCGGATTTATGTGGACGGGGCTTTTCATGATAGTGTCAATCTACAAATATGACCAGAATCATTCTGTTTTTTCATTTCTTTCATAATTAATTCGGTAAATTCAGAAGCCTTAATTTGCATCAGAAAGCCAAATTCTGTGGGATTCTAAAAAAAGCCGTTTTCATGATGGCGTCATTTTACTATACCAGATTCCTTCAGGGTTTTGCTTTCTTGCGCAAATTAGGGCTTTTGTTATTTAACCTCAGTGGGATTACCAAATTAAAATATGAAAGAAAAAATGAAATGAATTCCTTTAGTAGCAAAAACAAGTCATCGCGTAAATAGCCAGTTAGGCCCCGTGGCCCCGGTAGCCTTCCAGCAGTTCAGAATAGACCCCTATGGCTCGCAGCTCTTTTGTTTTCGGTAACTTTTCGGGCCCGAAATCAAATATTTAATAGAAATAAAAAGAGTAAGAGCCCTGGTCCTGGCCAAAAAAGTACTTCATTTTGTTTCATTAACTGATAGTTTTATCATGTTGATGCAAAACTATTGAAACCTCGATCTTTAATGCAAACGGCAGCAGCTTACCGGGCCCGTTAATTATCGGGACTTTCGAGAAACGGCCCCAAATTTTTTTGTTCGTATTGTTTTCCCAACCAACACCGTGAGGTCTTCGAAGAACTGCATGGTCGCCCCGGCCCTTATATGAAGAAAAGTCACCTCGGGTTGAGGAGTCACTCGCCTACCCTACTCAGTACCCTGGGCGAGCCAACATTTCCTACATTTCCTTACCGAAACTTGGCGTTTAATTACACTACAAATACTGGGTTCGGCTAGAGCCCGTTTTTGACGGTAAGGTCACCTTCCCAGCTAAGCCAACCTTTCTCGAAGCAAACTCTTGGCCTGCCCAACTCGGTTAAGGCGAGAGACTCAGAACTTAAGTTGACAAGGGCTGGGAGGGTGACACCGGGAAAAATTTTCTCTATATATACAGGACCTCATTCGCATGTTTTCTTGATATAGGTTCAATAAACAAAATAATAACTCTGCATGTGCATTATACGTTTTTATAAATTTAATCGCCGTCTCTACGTTATGAGAGGACATAGGCACCCGAAGAAAAATTTCTTTTTCTCTATTTGCACTTTGATGTCAGTGCTCCCTAAAAATTCATTTCCACCGAAAAATCGCCTACATTTGACCAACTTAGCCAGTTAAGATAACCGTCAGAAATTTTAAAAGTATGCCAAATAGCTTTTTAAATGACGTTTTCGCTACGGTCGCCTCCATAATGTCGGGCGCATGAAGTCTCGAGCAACTTGACGTTCAGTCAGGGTCAATCTCTGTATTTTAACGCCATACGTTAGTAGTTATGTCTCACGTTAGGTTGTCTGCTTTCGACTACAAAAGGTACCAGGACGATCAAGAAACGGACCCCACGCGGTTTTGCCTTCAGGTCCTCGCATGACGACGGCCGGCCGGGCTAAAATTGACCGGAGACCTCAGAGACGAAAACACCCGTCACCTAGAGCGAAAGGCGACGGGAAGAAGAGATAGGCTGGGAACGAGATTGATTTACAGTTTGACGTTCCTAGATAATAATAGCCTGCGATCATGTTCTCCCTAAAAAAAACCGTATAACGCCTATTTAAAAAAGACGATGAAACATGAGAAAGCATAGCTTTACACTATTTCCTTGTTTCTGTTTTCGTCTTTTGTGGCTATGGTTTGTATTTTTGGATTCTGTTTCAGTTTTGCGGTTTAATTTTGTATTTTTTTGTGTGTGTGTTTCCGGTTGGTAATGCTTACTTCAGTTTTGGGATTTGTGTTTCTGTTTTCTGGTAGTGTTTTTCTGTTTTGGGTTTCCGTTTTGTCTTATGTGTTTCTGTTTTGTTTGTTTTTCTGGTTTGTTCTCTGCTATATTTGTTGTTGTTGTTGTCTTGTGGTTTTTTTGTTTCTATCGGCTACCCTATATATTTGATAGTCCTCTGCATTTAAATCCAACCACTGGAGAACACTCCAAAACTCCGTTGAAAATTTCTTCACAGAGATCAAATCGTTCAGGTAAGAAATAATCTCCTTCAACTTGGAATTTGTCTAATCAGATATTTCTGCAAGGTTTATTTTGATCTCCTGCTGTAGCTTGTTTTCCCTCTCTTTTTTACGTAGAAATAATTAATAATAAGCTTAGACCGGTTTGCGACCGCAGCAAAGTATGTTTGTTCGATGTTAAGCAAAATGCCCGACTAGAATATTGTTTTGGCCGTTTTTTTTCTCTCCCTTCGTTGGCTCCCTTGTCTGCTTCTCTCTTCAACTTCCTTTACACCCTTCCCCCGCCTCCAAACACCCAACCCCTACCCCTCCTCACACAAGCAACGCCGGATATTCAGGATAATTTGTGTTTTAAAAAATGTAGCCTGTGAACAGGCTCTCTGTTTGGGTAAAAAAATAGCGAGGAAAGGTAAGGGAAAGGGGGGAGACGTAGACGTCACAGATTTATAATAATTTTCATTTTACAATAGCTAAAGAAGAAAGCCCTGCTTTGTGCATACATTTGTGAAACTAAGTCTTGCATCGATTAATAAGAAATTGAGGTCACGAACTTATTTAGTCAAGACATCTTTCCTCAAACAGTTGCCTTTTCAATTTTTCAATGTTCATTGGGACTATGTGAATTGTACAGCCAGAAAGGTTTTCAGGAAAATTACTATTTATAAGTTAAATCGCTTTTATTTCTGCTCTATGTAAGACAAACAATATAAAATTTGTTGTGGTTTGCTAGTTTGTGGTCTCTTTGAAATTTGCAAGTAATGTTATTGTCGCCGGGCAGCGGACTCATTTTTTGAACTTTGACTTATTATTATAAAAACAAAACAATAAAAAACGTCAGAAGGATCAATTAAAACACCCGACTAATAAACGCCAACAATAAAACCAGACACGAGATACCGTTTTAAAATTTTATTGAAAACCAATGACAAAAAGGGTCAAATACACAGCGATTTAAAAGGAATGAAAAATTAATCCTCTTCTTCGTTCTCCTCTTTAGAGGGGGAATAAAAATTGGTTTCCAACGTCTTCGCTTTTTGTGTGTAATTGCTCCACAATCGTGACGCCGAAGAAAGCCCTCTTTGATGCAATTTCCCTCCTCGGGGATCTGGTGATCGCATATCGGACAAATATTGTAGTAATCGTGCCAAAAGCAGTTAGGACATTTCATGATCAATGTTCCGTACAGTTTAGAATTCTCACAATGTTCACAGTGATTTTCAGAGTGAAAGGTCATGGACGTTTCAAGGCTACTACTTTATGTTTCCTGACTGTGGTCGTTTTTCAGTGTCGTTGTAGCTCTCTTGGGAGTCAACTTCAACACCATTCTCAGAAGCCACTTCCTCCTCCTCCTCCTCCTCCTCATCCTTCCCCTCCTAATTTTAGATATCCAGTGAACTCTTATTACCTATTACTCTCGTTATCAGAAGTATTTTCTGCATTTCGCTAGCCTTTTTCCTTTTCTGTTAAATCGCTTAGCAGCTTTTTGTTCTTGATTAAACCTTTATCGACTCCTAACTTTGCAAGTCCATCTACAAACGTATTCAGCGCACGAGGCTTGGTAACGTCATTGTTGTGTAGGGGTAGCACATACTCAATTAGCTCGGCGATGTTTGCGGCAGGAATTATATGTTTATTTCGAAGTAATTGTCCGCGGGGAGTCCAGAAATATTGTTTTATAACAGAAATTGTCAAAAAAATTTCGGAGAAGCGACAGTTGGAGTAAATCTAGAGAGGAAGGAGTGGAAAGTTCTGTCATGTCTTATCTGTCTAATGGGAACAAACAGTGTATTCTAAGACTTCAAATGTATTAATGAAAATTATTTTTGTTTTACTTCACCTCAACGCTCCTCAAAGAGACCTTACTGCCAAGAAACAGTTCCACTTTGAATACTAAAACTTGGAAATGGCAGAAAGAATACTACAAGATATAGCTGAACAAGAAAAGCGTCTTACATTAGCGCAGATCAATAAGAACAGGAAAGAGGAAGCAGAAGCCTACTACAATCTAAGCAAAGCTTATTGCTCCATCAAGGACTTCCATCGAGCAATAGAGTACGCCAAACAATGCCTGAGCATTGCTGAGGAAGTCGGTAACAGAGCAGGTGCGGGACGTGCCTATAGAATTCTCGGCTGTGCTTACCTATTAGAAGGTGACTCCCAAAGAGCAATAGAGTACCACAATCAAGACCTCAGGATTGCCAAGGAAGTTGGTGACAGGGCAGGTGAAGGACATGCCGTTCACTTTCTCGGCTTTGCTTATCACAGCCTTAAAGAATTCCAAAGAGCAATAGAGTACAACAATAAACACCTCATCATTGCCAAGGAAGTTGGTGACAGGGCAGGTGAAAAACTTGCCTATGCCAACCTCGGCATTGCTTATGACGGCCTTGAAGAATTCCAACGAGCAATAGAGTACCACAATCAGCACCTCAGCATTGCCAAGGAAGTTGGTGACAGGGTAGGTGAAGGACATGCCTATTACTTTCTCGGCCTTGTTTATCACAGCCTTAAAGAATTCCAAAGAGTAATAGAGTACAACAATAAACACCTCATCATTGCCAAGGAAGTTGATGACAGGGCAGGTGAAAAACGTGCCTATGCCAACCTCGGCAGTGCTTATGACAGCCTTGAAGAATTCCAACGAGCAATAGAGTACCACAATCAGCACCTCAGCATTGCCAAGGAAGTTGGTGACAGGGCATGTGAAGGATGTGCCTATCAGCATATCGGCCATGCTTATCACAGCCTTAAAGAATTCCAACGAGCAATTGAGCACTACAATCAACACCTCAGAATTGCCAAGGACATTGGTGACAGGGCAGGTGAAGGACATGCCTATTACTTTCTCGGCCTTGCTTATGACAGCCTTGAAGAATTCCAAAGAGCAATAGAGTACAACAATAAACACCTCATCATTGCCAAGGAAGTTGGTGACAGGGCAGGTGAAAAACGTGCCTATGCCAACCTCGGCAGTGCTTATGACAGCCTTGAAGAATTCCAACGAGCAATAGAGTACCACAATCAGCACCTCAGCATTGCCAAGGAAGTTGGTGACAGGGCAGGTGAAGGATGTGCCTATCGCCATCTCGGCCGTGCTTATCACAGCCTTAAAGAATTCCAACGAGCAATTGAGCACTACATTCAACACCTCAGAATTGCCAAGGACATTGGTGACAGGGTAGGAGAAGGATGTACCTATGGCAGTCTCGGCGCTATTTATCACAGCCTTGAAGAATTCCAACAAGCAATAGAGTACCACCATCAAAGTCTCAGCATTGCCAGGGAAGTTAGTAACAGGGCATGGGAAGCCACAGCCTATTTCAATCTCGGCACTACTTATCACAGCCTTAATGAATTCCAACGAGCAATAGAGTACAACAATAAATACCTCATCATTGCCGGGGAAGTTGGTGACAGGGAAACGCAAGGGGAAAGCTATCGCAAGCTCGGCGCGACTTATTTACGTCTCGGCGAATACCAACGAGCAATAGAGTACACCAATAAATACCTCAACATTGCCAAGGAAGAGGGTAACAGGGCATGGGAAGGCAAAGCCTATTCCAATCTCGGCGCTGCTTATAACAGCCTTGAAGAATTCCAACAAGCAATGAAGTGCCACGAGAAACAACTGAGAATTGCCAAGGAAGTCGGCGACAGAAAAGAAAAAGGAGATGCCTATTTAAACATCGGCGACGTTCATAGATCCCTCGGCAACGTGCCACGAGCAATGGAGTACTACAAGCAAGGCCTGAGCAATGCCGAGGAAATCGGTGACAGGAAGCAACAAGGACGTGCCTATTGCCGCCTCGCAGGTTGTTATAGAAATCTCCACGACTTGAAGGAAGCAATAGAGTGTTGCAAGCAACGCCTAAGCATTGCTGAGGAAATCGGTAACAGGATGGAAGAAGCATGTGCACATTCAGGTCTGGGTCACTCTTTATGGGAGTCACATTCTTGGAATGAGGCTTTAGAACATTTTAGATGCTGTGTTGAAATCTATGACACTATTAGAGCCAATTCTATCTCGGAAGATCAATTGAAAATAAGTTTCTGTACGCGGCATCATCATCAATGTGACTATACTCATTTATGGCAAGGTTTAGTAATGCTTCAAAGATATAGTGAGGCTTTATACACTGCTGAGAGGGGACGGGCACAGGCTTTGCTCGATGCCTTAAAAGTAACTTATGGCCTTACATCACTTTCTCCCAGCTCAATTGTATCTGAAGAAGAAGTCACAAATATTTCAAAGAAGACAACTGTGTTAACAGTTTTTCTTGCCCTACAAGAGAACACACTCTATATGTGGGTATTGCGAAAAGGGAGCAACCCTATCTTTAAGCTATTGACGTTACCAGCAATTGGAAGTGAGCACGAAGATTCCTTTTCTCTCCTTTTAGACTTTGTTCTGGGATGTATTGGGGCTGGCGTTGGTATCAGGTGCGAAAATCGGTCAATGGATAAGCTGAATACAACAACTTCAACTACTCGAGATGAACATCAAACATCGGAGCCATCACAAGAGAGCACCGACCTTTTACAGCCATTATATGATGCAGTTCTTGGTCCCATTGAAGACTTGCTTGATGGTGATGAACTAATTGTAGTTCCTGATGGCGCTTTGTCTAAAGCTCCTTGGACAGCCCTGAGTGAAACTCTAAGGATCCGCACTGTTCCCTCACTGACAAGTTTGAAAGTCATCACAGATTCTCCAATTGAATACCACAGTAAAAGTGGAGCCCTGCTTGTTGGAGATCCATGCTTGAAGAAAATTACAGATAAACCGGGGAACCCCATTTATGATCCTCTGAAGTACGCAAGAATGGAAGTGGAGATGATTGGAGAAATTCTAAAGAGTCAAACTTTAACAGGTGAAGATGCAACCAAAAAAGCGGTACTTCAGAGAATCGCGTCAGTTGCTTTGGTTCACATCGCAGCCCACGGAAGGAAGGAAACTGGAGAAATTGTTTTGGCTCCAGACCCCCGATGGGAATCCAAGACTTTTACGAAGGAGGACTATATGTTGAAACTGTCTGATATACAAGCTGTGAAGCTGAGAGCAAGGCTAGTTGTGCTTAGTTGCTGCCACAGTGGTCAAGGAAAGGTCTCGTCTGAGGGTGTGGTCGGTATGGCACGTGCTTTCTTGTTTGCTGGTGCTCGTTCCGTGCTGGCGACACTCTGGGCAATTGATGATGAAGCCACAATGATGTTTATGAAGTCTTTCTACCAACAACTTGGAAGTGGAGAAAGTGCAAGTGTTGCTCTTCAGAGGGCCATGAAATGTCTTCGAGACTCCCAGGATTATTCTGCTCCAAAGTACTGGGCTCCTTTTGTTCTGATGGGCGATGACGTTAAGATTGAATTGGAAAGATAGTCATTGAGGAAGTCGTAAGTGGAGATTTTATTTCTTGCTGTTCTAGTAACAGAAGGCTTAAAAAGAAAAGCCAGAACCATTCTTGTCAAATTCAGATAAGAGGAAAATGACACACTTGATAATAAAAAGAATAAAAATATGTACAAAGTAAGGATTGGTTGGGTGGTAAGTGTTTAATTATTATTGATTCACTCAAGTAAATGCTATTTCTAACGGGCTACCAACACATTTCAAAAATCAATTGAACACTAGGCATTGCTTAATGTTCTCAGTTGTTAAATAGTTTAGGTCAGGTGTAGATAAAAGATATACATAGGGAATAAGTTTCCTTCGTTTTTCTACAGGACTAGCACTATATGTAGAGAAATTCATAGCTTCAAAACAAACAAAAAAGTCTAACATGTTAAATGTTTTTCATTTTGCTATTTTTCATATCATCATCCATGGCATCCTAAAATTTAACGCTTTGACCTTTATTTTGTTTTGAAATGAAAGATTAATTAATGTATCAATTGTTACTTTCTTTACAGGGATGCGCTGAAAGTTTGATGTCAACACAACTGCTGAAGTAGCGTGTATATATCTGGATTTCCCCAAAGAAAGAAGTGCGTTATTTAATAGCTGTCCTCAATGGGGCGTTTGGTAAAAAGCGTGTTTTCATTTTAGTCATTTTTTGTCAGAAGATATTAAATAGAGAGATTTATAGTCACGCTAACGGCAAATGGCAAACGTCTACAGATTCAAGTTGAGAATTTCTCAAAATAGAAAATATGTAGATAAAATGACAACAACGCAAAGCAATTCTTATGGATAAAACTAACTTGAAACTAACAATTTTGTGTAGATTGAATTAACAGCAAACGAGAAAGCTCAAGAAGTAGAGGGAAGACTTAGTCACGTGGTACAAATCTACGGTTTGCCGTAAACGAAACTCTAAATCTCTCTAATTAATAACATCAAAAAAACGTTGTAAATCAAAGGGCATACTGTATACTGTGGAGCTCTATATTGGCCACCGCTACACTTATCAATTTTAACTTAGGAAAAAGACAAACAATTTTCGTAGGGAAAGAACTTAACGTTGTTTACAAGTATTTCGTTACTCCCGCGAAACTGACTGAATAGTAGTACAGAAGATTGCCCCTTTTCTCGACGTGTAACCTGCCTTAACCGGCAAACTGTAATTTGGCAAAGGAAAATTGCATTGTAATTATCGTAATATTGATGACAATAATAATCATCATTATCATAATCTTAATAATTCCTTTTCATTTTTTTTTTCCCTCGGCTTTAAAGCAAATGACTGAAACAAATAATTCAAATTAATTTAACAGGGTTAACCCTCGGACGTACACGCAAATTCATACCCCAACCGTGGTATAAGGGGCAAGAGTTTTTGATCATGATAATTTGCAGTATTTCGAAACGATTCTGCCTTCAGTGGAAAGCCTTTTATCTACTCTACAAGATGAGCCCTTTGCATCATTTCATTGACAGGTTTTACTTTTATTGTTGAAAAAAGTTGTAAGAACAGGCATTTTCATTCAAAAATGGCTTGACCACATGCTACTTAAGACATCATATGTCGTAACCATAGTAACTGACCATCACTAAACTTGTCTCAAAATGCGCGCGAGGGATAAACGAACGGCTACTGAAAACGTCAGGTGCTGATGTTTTATCGTCTGAAAAAAATAATAATAAAAAAAACGTCAGGGGGGTGGGGGGGGGGGTGGTGTTCGTCCCAGGGTTAAGAATCCCAGGTCTCCTAACGGGACGGAGACAAACCAATTAACTATATAAAAGAGTGGCCGTGGTTTCACTAGGGTGATTCAGATTTTAATCAGATAATTTTAAAAATTTTAAGTATGCACTGTAAGTATTTTGTGCATTCTGAATCGTGATTCTGAACCGCGGGTCACAATTCAGTGGTTTAATGTCTAGGTTAAAAGGGTGTATTACGTTTTGAATGATTTCCCAGCTAAACTAGTTATATCTTTTTTTAAAAAAATTAATATGCTCATGTCTTGTTGATCCTTAATGCATAAATTGGTGGACAGTACAAAATGCAGACCATTGTTTTCAGGGTTAGAAAACGATGGGACTATCAGTGGCTTCATAGCTTAGTTGGTTAGAGCGTCGCACCGGTATTTTTTTTCAGCCTTCTTACGCAACTGCATAAATCGCGTTCACAACTGCGAGGATCATTCTTCATTTGGTTTCATTTCCGCAGTTCTCATATATGATTTATTTCATATGCATTTGTCAATGGGGCTATTGTTGTCACGTTCCCATTTGCATGGTGAAAACAATGTTTTGCACTGAGAGACGGTCTGCAGTCTTCATTTTGTACTTATGTTATATATCGGGACACACATTGTGTCACTTAATTAAAACTGTTTTTAAATTCAAGTAAAATGGGATTTCAGGGACGAGTTTAACTTATATGGATAAATTATTAGCGTTTGATACAAAGAGTAAAACATTTTGCCTTCCACGTTTAGGAATGAATATGCTCGTAGTTTTAACAGTAAGTTTTGGACGATACACTGAATAGCCTGCGCAAAGACAGGAGCGAGTGACCGCTGGCGAATTGGACCGTCTGAGAATCATTAGAGTGACTTTGCCTCATTTGCCTCATAATCCTTTTTTAGGAAAAGCGTTGCCAGATAGTCCTTCCATGCCTGCAAACAAAGGAAAAAGGGCCCGAAATCTAATTTTCATCGGAAAACAAGATTTATTTTCCTTCTCTATTTTCTCACCACCACTTCCTTGTAGAGCTGAATCCGCCTCTGTCTTTGCACTCGTAGACTATTTGTTCTGCCATTAAACTAGGTTTAACTCTTCACCTTGTTTCTTAATTACTGCGAGTCATTTTAATCATAAAGGACGTTTTCGTGTGCTATTGCGTTAGTGGTCCAACATCTTTAATTGATGTCAACTTTAAAATATCCAAACAGTGGATGAGATTAGATTAAGATTTTCGACGCTCCAATAACTTTTAAGTTATTGGAGCGTCAACCTAGCACAAATACAACAAAACATCATTAAAATGATGTTTTGTTGTATTTGTGCTAGGTTGTAAAAGCTGGACTTTTAATCAAATAGATCAGTTCCAGAACACGTATACAGAAACGTTCTGAGGTTTGGCGTTAGGAAATCCTGACACCAATCGTTCAAGCTATCATCATTCTATCGCGAATCTGACTAATTTTTACTGCCTCTAGGTTGCTTTTCTCTAGGCCATTAACTTTTAGCCATCCCTCAGTTATTTAAAGAAGCTGCTTTAATTTAGGGATGTCACCATTAGAAAAAAAGGATAGGAGGTTGGCGGTAGGCAAACGCATTAGTAAGAAAAAAGTCTCCACACGCACCATGATCGAAAAAGGTGTTCGAGGAGGAAAAATAGATTTCCACCTCAGGGGCAAAAAGAAAACTTTCATAGACCTCCCAAAAATTCAGCCCAGGCCCTTTACTTTCCTAATGGTTCATCCCTTATACCGCCCCATGTAACGGAATCCGGAATCTGGGAAAATTTGCATGTGGAAATCCTGGGCTTTGAAGTCCGGAGTACAGCTTAAAGAATCCGGAATCCCACACTAGCAATTGGAATTGAGAATGCAAGTTCCACTGACAAAGACTGGAATCGCGTACCTGTAATCCGAAATCCGTGACGTGGAATCCAGAGTCCCAGACAATCGTGGATTCTCTTACATGGGGTGACTTATAGGTCCGTTTGTTGAAGTGCTCCTACTTGATCCTAACACATGTTTAGTTTCTGATGTTACCTTCAGAGAAGTAATGTTGTATTAAACCTGAAGAAAACGAGATGTTTACTGTGGTTGTTGATCTCCTCGATGCCTTAAACCATTTTAAAACAACCTTTCCTTGAACTGGAATAATCAATATTTGATTAACAAACCACTCCCCCCCTCAGAGGCGCTAAACATTTTCGATTCTAGGACGCTTTTCATATAATTTAGGGCAAGTTTCTGATTTTGTCATCAAATTATCCCGCTAGGTAAACGGTTTTCAAGCAAGAAAACCCAACTTTCGAACAAAAGTTTGATGAAACCATTTGAACTCGTTTCGCCATACAACGTCATAAGAAGCATAAAGGCACCAAAAACTTATTCCATTATATTTTCAAAGAGTACCATGGTAGTGACCCACAACCGTGTCACGGGTCTCTTGGCAGCCAAATGACTCAGTAAAACAAAAACGTGTTCAACCAATTTTCGACATCCAGGGATGTACCTTTAACACAGCAAAGGAAACTTTTGTCCATATTTATCAAAACTAGAATTTCATCGTTAATCCAAGCAATCTTGCCACTTTCAATTGAAGCAGCAGCGATCTAGAAAGTGGATCGTCTCATATCGGATAGGTTTCTGTGCAACTCTTCGTCGCAGTGTGAACGGGTAACGGGTATTCGAACCGTGGCGTTAATAAGAGAGTAAGAGGGAGGACTGAAACCCAGAAAAACGGAAGTAAATATTAAGCAGAAGTTAGGATTGGGAATTATTTCGCCAATCCCTCTCGGCCAACTACTCCAGACTCGTACCCAGCCACTATTTATTTATCCCCGCGCG